AATTATTATCGAATTAAAAGTAGAAGTCTGAAAAAAAAATAAATTAAATTTTTCTTGCACGACTGACTTGGCCAAAAAGAGTGCAATCTTGTATAGCAGAACATTTTGGTGAACAGGCTTTGCAGTCACTCAAAACAGAAGCATCATAATCAAACTGTTACTTTTAATAATTTGTTTTTTTTTTGACAGTCTTTTAAATTCGTTTTTTATTACACTTTTTTACTTCTTTGTTGCTTTTTCTCTCAGTGTTATTTTAACTTCTGTTTTGCAAATTAGGAATTGGTAGAAGCTTTGTTATGCAATTTTTTTTTAAAGAAATAATAATCTATATTTTATCTACTCTTTTTTTAAACTACTCACAAGCATTTTTTTGATGTTTATTATAGTGCAAGATTTCTACCAAATGCTTTACAGATAATCTTAGATTCTAATATTCTTCTTATTTATTTATCAGTATTTTCTCTGCAATATTTTTCAGTTGACGCTGCTGATTTTTGATGACATATAAAACCGAAAATAAGAATTTTAGGACTATATGGACTTGGTAAAGCAGGGAACGTTGATGAGCATTTTCAAACGTGAAAACCCAGAAAAATACTACTGTGGTTGTCAGGGATGTTATCATCCGTTAGCCCAAGTATGCGCCTACTGTTGTGCATTGAATTTGTGAACATTTTGATCGAATCGTCTAAAAATTTATAAACAGTTGCTGTATTATAACGATTCTCATAATAAACAGAGGAAACAAACACCAGTTTTTGACGACGTTTGTGTCTGTTAAGCAACAAACATTTTGTTTTATAAGAAGTTACAAATGTTCTAATAAATAGTAGCAATAATTTTGGCTGTGTGCCAACTCTCAGTTTTCTGTGTTTGCATTGCTAATGCTCGACAAAGATTACTGTAACTGTTGCAATAAAAACTACCAAAACACATAGATTACCGCCAAAATATTTGCATATAATTATTGTGCTGCAACACTTCAATTAATTTTGTGTAAAACAAAACAAATTTTTGCCGTTGCACTAAATGTCGTGCTGGTGACGGCTCAACGTAGATAAACGCTTATCACAAACAAAAACAAAGTAATTGGTATTTTTTGGCTGTATCATAGAGTAACAAAATCAGATGAAAAAAATTGTTTAGTTATAAAACGATGACAACAAAAGCGGTTATTCAGGATACTGTCGTATCAAGTATTACAGTAACATTCACCTGAAGGTCCATTCACCGTCTGTGCTCTTTGACGAAGCCGCTGTGGTCCAGCAATCAACATACGTTCCACAAAATTTTTTTTATTTCAATAGTAATTAATTACGTGAAAATTGTTGTGAACAAATGTACCAACTTATTTTGCCAACGCCAAGTGTTTCTCTTCCAAATCAGCTAATGGTGACAGTACAAAAAAAACCTGTATAATCAGAATTGTAAATTTATTATTATACTCTTGTTTCAAAAAGTAACAAAAAAGGTGAAACAACAAACAATAGAGAAAAAACAACGGTTGTACTTATGAATGTAGTGTTACAAATGTGATTAATTCAGTTACAGCAATAATTTTAGCAACTGTAATATATCAATTTCAAAAGCTTCTCTTCTAAACGCAGTCACGTAAGTGTCCTTATAAAAATGTAATTTAACTATAGTTTTTGACAAAAATTTTATGACAGAAGTAGCTGCAAAAAAATTGGTTAGCAAAACAATTTGACGACAAAATTAACAACAACAGAAGCAGCAACAACAACAGCAAAAATAATAGTAAAAATAATAATAGTAAAAATAATAATATTAGCTATGCTGAAGACCAGTAATTTGACTGACAGCAGTTATACAGAACTGAAAGATTAATAGCAACGACGTGTCCTATAGAACTGTCTTTGATTATATGAATAAGGTGGAAAAAGATAATAACAGTTAGTCAGTGCTTCATAGTCTAACGCCTCATCTGATAGTCTGTAACCTCCAGTCAAGGCATCAACTTTTATCCTTTCAAGGAATTTCTTTCGTGAAAAACAATAACGTATAATCAGAATATGTACCAATATTATTCCAACGCAGACAATAATCACTATATGTGAAACAGCTGAAAAGAGCAAGGTACAAAACAGAATTAACTGTAATAAAACTTGTGAAATTGGTGCATAGAAGTATGTTTTTAAGTAGTTTATTGTTTTTTGCTATAATGTATTAGCATTAGATTCCGTTATAAAAATAATATTTTTAATGACAAGTAACTTAGCTATAATCATTTTGATTTCAAGAGCTACACTACAGTCAAGAATAGGATAGAATTGATAAAGAATTGTAAGGTATACTTATAGCATTACTTGTTCGTCTTAACTGAAACTAGTGTTGTCTTAATTGTAAGACTTACATAAACTGATCTTGACAATTCCAAAATCTACCTTCTTTTTTTCAAATTCACCCTGGAAGCAAAAAGTAAGTTCTTTAAAAGCTCTCTATTGTTTGCACCAATAAGAGCTAACTTTTCTACGCATAGAATTAAACACCAGTATCACTGCAAATAATAATTTTTCTATCAAAATTCAGATAAAGTCTTTCAGTAAATGTTAATAAACCAAATCAAATGTTTTTGTTCTTTTTTTTTTTTTTTTCAAGATATGCCTGAAGTGTTGACAATTTCTTAAAACTTATCAGATTAACAAAGCAACTAAAGACTGAAAGCGCTGATAATTTTTTCGCTTTACAAGCTGGTCAAAAAATACCGTAATTCAAAATTGTGATAAATTTTTAAAACTTAACAAAATTTTCAAGAATTTCATTTTCATTTGCATCGGTCTCTGTCAGTTTAAAGCGTTTGACGTCTAAAACAGCAATATTTATCGTAACGATAGGTTTTTCTGTCTCTTCTTCAGAAAACGAAATCGTTACTCCAGTTCTAACTGAACTGCTTTGTGCTATCGAGTGTTTTTTCCCAGGTGATTCAGAAACTGTAAAACGAATTTTTAGAAGTTTGAAAAGTTTAAAAAATTGGTTTTATCACTTTATTTTTTTAACAAACAAATGAATTTTCTTTTACTTTTTGTACAGCAGGTAGCTAGCAGGCGACATAAACTACAAAATTACTCATCAAATTATCTATTTTTATAATGTTTGAAAAACATTTTTAAAAGCTTTTTTAAAAGCTTTTATGTGTCTATCGGTTCAGAAAAAACAGCAGAAATTGAGTCTAAGAGCTTAGAGCTGCAAATAATGTCTGTTTTTATTTCTTCGCTAATTGAAGTTTATTTTTGCCTTTTCTTTTTGATAGCAAACTAATTGCTAGTTTCAAACTGTTGTTCATACATTCAAGAATTATAATAATAACACTGCATCTGCAGCTAATTTTTCTAAAAAACTCTACTTTTGTTAAATTATTTCTTTAAGAACTACGGCAGTAAAGTTGTTTAAACGATAAGCATCTCAAGTAATCTTTTCTATTTTTTGTACTATTTTTACCACTAAGCTTTTGTCTTTCATAGGAGACGGAAGAATTGTCACCATCGTAAACTGATAATAAAACGACAAAGTAAAAAAGTATTTTTTTTTTTTGAAAATTTTGTTACTTTTATTCAAAAAAATCTGCACAACTTGTTTAGTCTACTTTTAAAAGAACTTGATACCGTTGTATAATGTCTTCTCGACGGTTTACGAACTGTATGTACCAAGAAACATCAGACTTTCAGTTGAAGGTTACGTTGTACAGTGTAACATTGTTTTTTATAAGTTTATGCTTTCAGTTTAACAAAAGTATAAAGAAATTTTATTAGTAGAATATAAAGATATTTAGTAAATAGCTTACGTTTATACTTGCAAAAAAAAGAAGCTCGTTGCTTAGATATTTGTTTGTCGAAATCAGATTCTTCATCAGCAGCAAATGTCATATTCTGTGTTTTATTTTGGCTAAGACTGGTCCATAATTCTTTGTTTTCAGATAAAGCTGTAATTTACTGCCGTTAATCTGCATTAGCTTTTAAGCAATTATTTGCAGTCTTTTAAAAGTAAAAATTAAAAGAAAGAATTTTGTTAAAGACCATAAAAGTTTAAAATTGTCGTAAAAAAACTAACAACGTAAAAACTCAGTTTCTTCTGGAGTTTCTGGAGTGGCTAAGATCACAACTTGTGAAGAATCATTCAATGTCATACTTGAACACGTTGTTACAGCATCTTCGTATGTAGAGTTAATGCTTTTCTGAACAGTCTGCTTTTAGTTACACAAATATAATGTCTGACGACTGATCATATTTTACTTTATGAATAACCTATTTATTTGCACTTTTTAATTTTTGTCGATATAATACTGAATTATTTTGTGCCAGTTTTTTAGCAACTTTTCTTGCTGCAGTAACAGTATATCAAAAATTATATGAACTTAAAATAGAAAAAAGATTTTTAGTGATTTTGCAAAAATAAATCTTACGAAAATATAACAGAAACCATTGAAAGCGGTCCATTGAGGTAGGCAACCTTCGTGATCTGAACTTTACAAAAAAATATGAATTGAAAGCTGACGTAAATATAAAATTTTTTACGCTGTAAGAAAAAAAAAACAATATTTGTTTAGATATTGTTAAAATTGAGTTTAAAACAAAAAAAAAAAAAAATTTTATTGTTTTTAACTACATAAAAAATTTTTTAATTTTTCTCTTTTACTGTTAATATTAAATCAAAAAAAGCAAAATACTTTTCTGATTGAAATAAACCTTTATAAAAAAACCCACTTAACGTGTTGTTTGCAAACAATTTTTTTATGTTGCTGAAAAGAATAACTGCAACGACAACGGACGGCCGCATGTGAGGTTTACTGACAGTTAATGTTAAGCATTAGTTAAAAAATTTTTTCTTCTGATCCTTAATCACTATTATATCGCACAGATAATTGCATTTATTTCTTCTCACAAATACAGTAAATGAAGAAAAAAGTTTTTGTCAAATAAACAGAATAATTAAAAAAATAAACTTTTACTGAATTTTATCACAAAATTCAGTTTCACTGTTAAACCGTTTCCTATAAGTGTCTAATCGGTTTCATTGTTTTGCAAACTAAATTTACCAGTTTTTCAATGCGTAATTTTTAACTAAAACATTTTTTAGATCTTTTCTTTTTTCTGTTTTCTCGTTTTAACTAATCGGAAAACATAAAATTTAGTCGTAAAATAATAAATTATTTACAGATTTTATTTTGGTTTTCCTGACAACAAATGCCTGTCATTTGTAGATAGCATTTTCACCAAAAAATCTTTATAATTTCACTACTTAAAAAATTATATAGTATACCTAAAAAACAATAAACAAAAGCTATTAAACGCCTTTTTCTTCTCCTTCTTTATTTCTTCACTTATTCATTTCTTTGAATAATGCCACTTCTTTAAGCTTATTTTTTTCTTTATAAAGAGAAACTACACCTTCTAATGCAGGCAACTTTGAGCCTTACAGAGGGCTTCTGCACGACTAGTTGTTATTGTCTACCTCTAACAGCTTTCTTTTATCAAATAATTGACTATAAACATTGAAAGATCAGGTTCAGAAGCAAACTGGGATAGGCATTGTTTTTAGAAGGTTGCTGCAAAGTACAATAAAGTATTTGTGCATTTCTTAGGGGATATTATACATTTAAAAAGTCTAAAAATATAATGTCTGAGAGCACAACAAAACAGCTGAGTATAGGAG